TTTATCATGGTGATCTAATTTCATCAATTGACTCATGAATTCAACTATTAAAATTACTATAATAATCACAAAATCTTTCTCTGATTATAATCAAACAAGATTGTTGGATAAGACGTTAGAATCATTTGAATTTCATGAATAATGTTTTTTTTAATACAAGGTGACGAAATTCTACCAAAACGGTTCAAATGGTTTTGTACGGAATAGAAAAAGCTTTCGGTTAATGGGCTTCCATATCTAGTAGCAGAGGATCACCATTACCTCCAGGGAGGAATCTCTGTTTTTTATCGATAAAAGATGTAAAAGAGAAAAAAAGTCCGCAAATCCTTAGTTCTTAAGAATATGCCAAGTTTTCTCTTGAAGGACTCCTAGGAAGTTGCTTTGACTAGCTCAGCCGGGAGGGAATTTCAGCATTTGACTATTCTTAGGAAGTAGTAGTTGTGTCTACAGTTCGTTCTGATGTGTTTCATCTCCAGTTCCTGGGTGTTACTCCTAAGTTTTGTGTTGGGACTAAGCTTAAATAGGTAACTTAGGGAATGTTCTCAAGTGTTAAGAATACTGGAAGTCATCAGAAGGCCACGTCTAAGACGCTCGTACTCTAATGGGTAAAGGTTCAGTGATCTGAGACGTTATTCATAAGACTCAAATTTGAGTCCCCGAACTGATTTCGTGGCTCGCCGTTGCATTCGTTCCAGAGTGACCTCATCCTTTTGGAGTGAGGGGGAAAATTCTATGTTTCCGTACCCTAAATGAGGACGAATGAAACTGTTTAAGATTATGTGGTAAGTTCTGTCGAGTTGGTCAAAAATGAGCCTCAATGCTACCAGTGCATGATTTTTCGAAAGGCACTTTTGTCGCGGTTAGTGTAAAACTTCAGATCGTAGGATACCTGAACTCCTAGTTCACTTTCAACTTGGGATACCTATTGAGGCGAGTTAGCTAATTTGTAGTTGTAGTCTGCAACATGTCTCAGACTTTAGACTTTGAAGTGTTTTTAAGGTAAGTCTGTTGTCATCTGCCCAACTTTGAAGATCCTCTATAAAAAGCAAGAAAAGAAGAGGTTCTAGTGCTGAACCCTGTGGGACATTCCGTAGTCTGAGATAAAGTGAAGTTAACGCTGACCTCGCAATGTCGATTTTTTGGATATGAAGTGAGGTAATCAATGAAAGGTGATCTGATACCCAACCGTTTGAGGTTACTGATAAGACATATATGGATGATCTTATCAAAAGCTTTTGAGAAGTAATGATAAATGACATCAACCTTCCCCTTGAGATCAAGAATGGTTGTCCATCGGTTCACCGTGGTCAACAGGTTGGTTACACAAGAGTGACCTCTTCTGAGACCATGTTGTTTGGGTGAAAATAAATTTATGGATAATAAATAGTCGCATAAACGATCAAATATCAGGGGCTCCACAATTTTTGAGAGTATAGAGAGAAGTGCTACCGGTCGATAGTTTGAAAGTTTACTGCGTCGACCTCCTTAGAAAATCGACATGATGTGAGCTAGCTTCTGATCTTATGGTGGCATTCCTCAGCTTAGTGAATGTGAGAACATCACTCTACATGGTGTTGCCAAGATTGAAGTTGTTTGACCGAATTCAAAATATTCCTTCAAATATCGACCAATATTCACTGATTTGATCAGTGTGTTGGTTAATTGTTAACTGTCAAACATCTAAGAATTGTTTAGTTTACTTTATGTTAACCTTATCCAAATTTAGTTTACATAAATAATAATAACTTTATAAAGACTGATAATATTACAATGTATGCTACTTACGTTGACAGAAGTAAGTAGTATATAACACCGGTCAGAGGTGAAATGCTAGTCCATGAAAGTTGAGAAGATTCAACTGAAGAAAACAGAGAGGTAAGGTGATGCAAATTAAAATAATCCATAATTGTAAAAATCACGAACGATGAAATGAACAATTGAAGTAAGATATACAAATGAAATATTCAATGTACGGTTTTCATAATATACAAAGAATTAATTAGTTACTTGCGCCTGTTACTCCCAATGGAGCATTGGCCGCCCATCAGCATCCTCAATCCAACCCTGTCCTGGGCATTACTTTCCACCTCCTTCCAGTTCTTATTCATCCTTTCCATATCTGCTTCCGATTCTCCACATAGTGTGTTGTTTGGCCTTGCACTCTTCCACTTCTCTTCAAGATTCCAAGTAAGGGCTTGTCTCGTGATCCAGTTCGATGATTTGCGTAATGTATGTCCTATCCATTTCCATCATCTCTTCCTAATTTCTTCTTCAACTGAATGGTGGTTTGTTCTCTCCTACAGAAAGCTGTTACTGATGGTATCCGACCAATTCGGGATGTTGAGTATCTTGCATAGACAACTATTTATAAACACTTGCACCTTGTTGATGATGGTTGTAGTAGTTGTGCAAGTTTTAGCTCCGTACAGTAGAACTGCTTTGACATTCGTATTGAAGATTGTGACTTTGACATTTGTTGATAGTTGTTTTGAGCTCCATATGCTCTTCAATTGTAGGAATGCTGCCCTTTGCTTTTCCAATCCTCACCTTGACGTCTACATCTGGTCCACCTTGTTCATCGATGATGCTGTCCAGGTAAGTGAAGGATTCCAGAGTTTCTCTATCAAGTGTGATTGTTTTGGTGTTCTCCGTGTTGTAATTGAGGATCTTACTCTTCCTCTTGTGTATGTTGAGGCCTACTGATTCAGATGTTCCTGCTACACTAGTTGTCCTCATTTGCATTTGTTCACGTATATCAGATAGGAGGGCTAACGAAGTAACTGGTTTATCTTAATTACAGAAAACACCATTGATATTATTTGTCTCAAAGAGAATAATTTAAAAATATTTATCTGGAGTTGAATGGTGGCTAGTAGTGAAATCCAGGACGTGAGTTTCATCCTATTCGTAACTCATCAGCTGGATGTATCTGCACCCTAGACTTGATGTTCTAATAAGCAACAAAGGAGAAGATACAAGTAAACAAAATGTCAAGTGAGTTATTGATTAGAATTATTGAAAAAGAAAACTACAAAGACTACTGAAGTATGAAGACGTTGACTGATTAGTGATTTCGATTTTTAAACTATTGTAGCAGCAGCATCAGCAGCAGTAGGTCTCAACATACACAAAGGGTAAAGCAAGATTCTCCGATACAACAATCGAATCACACTTGACGGAGAAACTCTAGAACATGTGGAAACATTCTTGTACCTGGACAGCATCATCGATAAAACAAGAAGGATCTGATGCAAATGCAAATGCACGGATCGGCAAAGCAAGAGCAGCATATTTACAGCTGAAGAACATCTAGAACTCAAAACAACTGTCAACCAACATCAAAGTCAGAATTTTCAATACAAATGTGAAGACAGTTCTACTATATGAGACAGAAACTTGGAGAACTACAAAAGTCATCATCCACAAGATACAAGTGTTTATTAACAGATGTCTACACCAAATACTTCGAATCCATTGGTTAAACACTATCAGCAACAACCTGTTGTGAGAGAGAACAAACCAGATCCCAACGGAGGAAGCATTGGGAGTTGATAGGGCACACATTGAGGAAAACACTGAACTACGTCACAAGGCAAGCAGTCACTTGGAATTCTCTAGTCTAATGGTGAAGTGGAAGACCAAAGAACATATTACTCCAAGAAATAGAGACAGATATGAGAAGAATGAACAAGAATTGGATAGAACTGGGAAGGAAGTTCCAGGATATAATGAGTTGGAGAATGCTGGACGGCAGCCTATGCTCCATTATACATAACAACAGGCGTAAGGAAGATTTATCATCAAATTATCAATGACATGTTCATTATCACTGATTACATAACTGACTATTATTGATTACTACTCAGTAATCAGAAATTGATTAAATTACTTCAATATCAATTTATATCGTTTGATTTGTTTTCATAGCGAAATCGTATTATGTTTTCTTGTCTGAGGACTTAAATATTTAATGAAAACACAGGTAAAGATCATCAATATGATGAATGTTTACGTCATCATCGTCATCATCATTATCATTATCATTATCATAGTAACTATAAATAGGAATGTTCATGAATAAATAAATTTGAAATAACCATTTTTTTATTTCATACTATTCAATTAAGTTCTTCATGTTAGTTTTTAGTGGCTCTTAGTCTGATTCCATCAAGAGGCTCGGTACTTTTGTGGTTGCGCAACAGGATTTCATTGTACAATTCAGATTGTAGCATTAAAGCCTATATGATATTTGGTTCTCCTATGAAGCGGGATTGAGCTGTACTATATGGATTGTCACGTGAATGTCCGAATGGTGTATGGTTCTCTTGAAAACCAATTTAAAATTACATTAGCCATTAAGGGTACATTATATAGATTAATAAAACTCAAGTGAGATTGTTTCTGCATGTTATTAAAATATACGCATCATCAATCCTTGTATGTAATCATCGACCTAACTGGTGTTGGTGAATAACGTAATTAAATAAGTCGAATACCAGAATGGATTTCAAATATACGTACTTCATATAACCATTGATCCAGATAAAGTGAATGAAGCAAAGAGAAGAGAGTGGAACGAAATGACGTACAGTGGAAATGGCGTGTGAGCCAACTCTCATTTAATCAAGTCGTTAATCAATATTTATAGCCTGGTAAAAATAGGTTACAGACATGAGATGAGTAGGATCAGAAGTGTACACACACATATATATATATATATATATATATATATATATATATATATGCGATCATATAAAAATAATCATGATTGATAAGTGAATAATTAACAATGTCGAAACGTGACTTAAGCTGTGAGGGTTTAGCAATAATAAACGATATTAAAAATCTTGTTTAACACATATATTCGTCTCTAATCCTTAATTAAAATAAAGAATCTTTTTACCATGATATGTGATTTCTATGTTATGTAGATCTACATATCTTTTAGAGTTAGTAATTTGATGAAGTTTTATTCTTTGAGCTGGATAGTTTGTTCATGGATGTTTCATCATCATCATAATAATAATAATAATAATAATAATAATAATAATAATAATAATAATAATAATAATAATAATAATAATAATAATAATAATAATAATAATAATAATAATAATAATAATAATAGTAACCAACCAAACAAACGAATAAAGATAAAAAGGGATTTCATACAAAAAGGTTTAAATAATTACTTTGTTGTATCTTAGAGAATTTACGTATATAGATGTATATGTGCGTATGTGCGTGTGTGATGTGGTGTATGTGTGTGTGTGAGAGAGCGTGTGAGTATACATATAATGAATGATCAACCGTTTCTAGTTAATTAAACAACTGAATTGAAAGAAAATCTTTTTATAGAATACTAAACTATAATGATTATTTGGAAAAAAAATTAATAGTTAAGCTAATCTCAATCATAGAAATTGTAATGATTTCAACATTTTGTCCAGGAATTTTATTTCAACTTCTTCATGGAAGAAACTCAAACAAGATGAATAGTTGAATTTATGAGTCAATTGAAGGGAGATGATCATGAAAAACCTGAAAGAACTGAAGAGAGATTTGATGAGGCGGAATTATAGATGTGAACTGTTGAGGAATCCCATACTAGAACGAAACGATTGTCCAATGCGTCCAAGTTTATCATGGTGATCTAATTTCATCAATTGACTCATGAATTCAACTATTAAAATTACTATAATAATCACAAAATCTTTCTCTGATTATAATCAAACAAGATTGTTGGATAAGACGTTAGAATCATTTGAATTTCATGAATAATGTTTTTTTTAATACAAGGTGACGAAATTCTACCAAAACGGTTCAAATGGTTTTGTACGGAATAGAAAAAGCTTTCGGTTAATGGGCTTCCATATCTAGTAGCAGAGGATCACCATTACCTCCAGGGAGGAATCTCTGTTTTTTATCGATAAAAGATGTAAAAGAGAAAAAAAGTCCGCAAATCCTTAGTTCTTAAGAATATGCCAAGTTTTCTCTTGAAGGACTCCTAGGAAGTTGCTTTGACTAGCTCAGCCGGGAGGGAATTTCAGCATTTGACTATTCTTAGGAAGTAGTAGTTGTGTCTACAGTTCGTTCTGATGTGTTTCATCTCCAGTTCCTGGGTGTTACTCCTAAGTTTTGTGTTGGGACTAAGCTTAAATAGGTAACTTAGGGAATGTTCTCAAGTGTTAAGAATACTGGAAGTCATCAGAAGGCCACGTCTAAGACGCTCGTACTCTAATGGGTAAAGGTTCAGTGATCTGAGACGTTATTCATAAGACTCAAATTTGAGTCCCCGAACTGATTTCGTGGCTCGCCGTTGCATTCGTTCCAGAGTGACCTCATCCTTTTGGAGTGAGGGGGAAAATTCTATGTTTCCGTACCCTAAATGAGGACGAATGAAACTGTTTAAGATTATGTGGTAAGTTCTGTCGAGTTGGTCAAAAATGAGCCTCAATGCTACCAGTGCATGATTTTTCGAAAGGCACTTTTGTCGCGGTTAGTGTAAAACTTCAGATCGTAGGATACCTGAACTCCTAGTTCACTTTCAACTTGGGATACCTATTGAGGCGAGTTAGCTAATTTGTAGTTGTAGTCTGCAACATGTCTCAGACTTTAGACTTTGAAGTGTTTTTAAGGTAAGTCTGTTGTCATCTGCCCAACTTTGAAGATCCTCTATAAAAAGCAAGAAAAGAAGAGGTTCTAGTGCTGAACCCTGTGGGACATTCCGTAGTCTGAGATAAAGTGAAGTTAACGCTGACCTCGCAATGTCGATTTTTTGGATATGAAGTGAGGTAATCAATTAAAGGTGATCTGATACCCAACCGTTTGAGGTTACTGATAAGACATATATGGATGATCTTATCAAAAGCTTTTGAGAAGTAATGATAAATGACATCAACCTTCCCCTTGAGATCAAGAATGGTTGTCCATCGGTTCACCGTGGTCAACAGGTTGGTTACACAAGAGTGACCTCTTCTGAGACCATGTTGTTTGGGTGAAAATAAATTTATGGATAATAAATAGTCGCATAAACGATCAAATATCAGGGGCTCCACAATTTTTGAGAGTATAGAGAGAAGTGCTACCGGTCGATAGTTTGAAAGTTTACTGCGTCGACCTCCTTAGAAAATCGACATGATGTGAGCTAGCTTCTGATCTTATGGTGGCATTCCTCAGCTTAGTGAATGTGAGAACATCACTCTACATGGTGTTGCCAAGATTGAAGTTGTTTGACCGAATTCAAAATATTCCTTCAAATATCGACCAATATTCACTGATTTGATCAGTGTGTTGGTTAATTGTTAACTGTCAAACATCTAAGAATTGTTTAGTTTACTTTATGTTAACCTTATCCAAATTTAGTTTACATAAATAATAATAACTTTATAAAGACTGATAATATTACAATGTATGCTACTTACGTTGACAGAAGTAAGTAGTATATAACACCGGTCAGAGGTGAAATGCTAGTCCATGAAAGTTGAGAAGATTCAACTGAAGAAAACAGAGAGGTAAGGTGATGCAAATTAAAATAATCCATAATTGTAAAAATCACGAACGATGAAATGAACAATTGAAGTAAGATATACAAATGAAATATTCAATGTACGGTTTTCATAATATACAAAGAATTAATTAGTTACTTGCGCCTGTTACTCCCAATGGAGCATTGGCCGCCCATCAGCATCCTCAATCCAACCCTGTCCTGGGCATTACTTTCCACCTCCTTCCAGTTCTTATTCATCCTTTCCATATCTGCTTCCGATTCTCCACATAGTGTGTTGTTTGGCCTTGCACTCTTCCACTTCTCTTCAAGATTCCAAGTAAGGGCTTGTCTCGTGATCCAGTTCGATGATTTGCGTAATGTATGTCCTATCCATTTCCATCATCTCTTCCTAATTTCTTCTTCAACTGAATGGTGGTTTGTTCTCTCCTACAGAAAGCTGTTACTGATGGTATCCGACCAATTCGGGATGTTGAGTATCTTGCATAGACAACTATTTATAAACACTTGCACCTTGTTGATGATGGTTGTAGTAGTTGTGCAAGTTTTAGCTCCGTACAGTAGAACTGCTTTGACATTCGTATTGAAGATTGTGACTTTGACATTTGTTGATAGTTGTTTTGAGCTCCATATGCTCTTCAATTGTAGGAATGCTGCCCTTTGCTTTTCCAATCCTCACCTTGACGTCTACATCTGGTCCACCTTGTTCATCGATGATGCTGTCCAGGTAAGTGAAGGATTCCAGAGTTTCTCTATCAAGTGTGATTGTTTTGGTGTTCTCCGTGTTGTAATTGAGGATCTTACTCTTCCTCTTGTGTATGTTGAGGCCTACTGATTCAGATGTTCCTGCTACACTAGTTGTCCTCATTTGCATTTGTTCACGTATATCAGATAGGAGGGCTAACGAAGTAACTGGTTTATCTTAATTACAGAAAACACCATTGATATTATTTGTCTCAAAGAGAATAATTTAAAAATATTTATCTGGAGTTGAATGGTGGCTAGTAGTGAAATCCAGGACGTGAGTTTCATCCTATTCGTAACTCATCAGCTGGATGTATCTGCACCCTAGACTTGATGTTCTAATAAGCAACAAAGGAGAAGATACAAGTAAACAAAATGTCAAGTGAGTTATTGATTAGAATTATTGAAAAAGAAAACTACAAAGACTACTGAAGTATGAAGACGTTGACTGATTAGTGATTTCGATTTTTAAACTATTGTAGCAGCAGCATCAGCAGCAGTAGGTCTCAACATACACAAAGGGTAAAGCAAGATTCTCCGATACAACAATCGAATCACACTTGACGGAGAAACTCTAGAACATGTGGAAACATTCTTGTACCTGGACAGCATCATCGATAAAACAAGAAGGATCTGATGCAAATGCAAATGCACGGATCGGCAAAGCAAGAGCAGCATATTTACAACTGAAGAACATCTAGAACTCAAAACAACTGTCAACCAACATCAAAGTCAGAATTTTCAATACAAATGTGAAGACAGTTCTACTATATGAGACAGAAACTTGGAGAACTACAAAAGTCATCATCCACAAGATACAAGTGTTTATTAACAGATGTCTACACCAAATACTTCGAATCCATTGGTTAAACACTATCAGCAACAACCTGTTGTGAGAGAGAACAAACCAGATCCCAACGGAGGAAGCATTGGGAGTTGATAGGGCACACATTGAGGAAAACACTGAACTACGTCACAAGGCAAGCAGTCACTTGGAATTCTCTAGTCTAATGGTGAAGTGGAAGACCAAAGAACATATTACTCCAAGAAATAGAGACAGATATGAGAAGAATGAACAAGAATTGGATAGAACTGGGAAGGAAGTTCCAGGATATAATGAGTTGGAGAATGCTGGACGGCAGCCTATGCTCCATTATACATAACAACAGGCGTAAGGAAGATTTATCATCAAATTATCAATGACATGTTCATTATCACTGATTACATAACTGACTATTATTGATTACTACTCAGTAATCAGAAATTGATTAAATTACTTCAATATCAATTTATATCGTTTGATTTGTTTTCATAGCGAAATCGTATTATGTTTTCTTGTCTGAGGACTTAAATATTTAATGAAAACACAGGTAAAGATCATCAATATGATGAATGTTTACGTCATCATCGTCATCATCATTATCATTATCATTATCATAGTAACTATAAATAGGAATGTTCATGAATAAATAAATTTGAAATAACCATTTTTTTATTTCATACTATTCAATTAAGTTCTTCATGTTAGTTTTTAGTGGCTCTTAGTCTGATTCCATCAAGAGGCTCGGTACTTTTGTGGTTGCGCAACAGGATTTCATTGTACAATTCAGATTGTAGCATTAAAGCCTATATGATATTTGGTTCTCCTATGAAGCGGGATTGAGCTGTACTATATGGATTGTCACGTGAATGTCCGAATGGTGTATGGTTCTCTTGAAAACCAATTTAAAATTACATTAGCCATTAAGGGTACATTATATAGATTAATAAAACTCAAGTGAGATTGTTTCTGCATGTTATTAAAATATACGCATCATCAATCCTTGTATGTAATCATCGACCTAACTGGTGTTGGTGAATAACGTAATTAAATAAGTCGAATACCAGAATGGATTTCAAATATACGTACTTCATATAACCATTGATCCAGATAAAGTGAATGAAGCAAAGAGAAGA